ATGTGGAAAATCTTTTTTTTTCTGCATGTCCTGTATATTTGTTTTTTCCACTTTTTGAAATTAGCAATGATTTATTGCCATGTTGCATATAAAGTGTATTGCTACTGCATTTCAAATGTAAATGATTTTTGTTAGGCACACACTGAACTGATTTGTAACTGATGATGTGGACAGGGTGTGTGGGGCTTTCTTGGTCTATAGAGCTGTTACCTCCTGGAGAGGTTTACAGAGCTGAGATCTGGTGAGATCATCACCTCTGCCAATGAAAGGGGGAGGGAGGCTTTTCAAGGCTACCCATGCCTCAGTGGAGGTCCTTGTGTCATTGTGGGCTTGCGGTTGCACTCACAGTGATTCAAGCCTTACCTTGGAATGACTTTTTTCCAACTAGGCCTTAGAAGTTAAACATCTTTAAGGAAATTCATCATGATAATCTTCTCCTTAATGTAAAAAGAAGTCAAAGTATAGAAATATCTGTTTACATAGTCTTTTTAAATTCTTAGTCCTTTTGTAAGCATGTTTAAAAGATTTATTTCAGCTCTACGATTGACTTTGTTAGCACTGAAGTCAGTGGATATGAGTGATTCTGAAGTTTTATATGAACAATAAGCACCATTCAGCAGTTGTTGGATACTAGAGAAAAGAGGGACTCCAAAACAAATTTACACCAAGACACACTTAATATACATCAAGATCACCCTGATCTCATGACTAAAGTGGAAAATTTCCATTGGAACACGTCCTTGTAAATTAAACCAATTTTTTTTCGACGCAATCAATCAAAATTATACAAGGAGCTTACACTATTGCATTATTTACAGCACCCCATGTTGCTAAAAGCAACCTCTCAAATCTCCCTTCTTGTTGTAGGCCTAGTGGCAGTGTATCTATAATATGTAGCTAAGCTCATTAGTATTAATGCTACGCGATATTGTTTATGCTGCCATAATGGGTAAGGTTCATGGCATCCATCAGAGAATTAAGAAAGTCTGCTCTCAGCCTTACTGCCAATTATAGTTGGTGTCTATTCATTTTACTGCATTTGGAAGGGGGGAGCACAATGGAATGCAAAAAAGGTGAATCATTTTTTACTCTATGCAGTTGGGATTCGTGCATATTTAATGTATTTTAAAAAAAAACATACTTTTTTGGCTTATGCAAAAGACAAGAAATGTTTTGAGTCTGGTATTTAGTTGTTGTACAATTGGTGAAAATCAATATTGCTATTATTATTATTGCTATTATTAACACATTCACTGCTTCTGATAATGATACAACAAAGTGAAAACTGTTTTTAAAAAGAACCCGTGCATCCATCCAGCGTTTATTAAAAAACAAAACCAAACAACCAACCAAACAAAAATGCTCACAGTAGGCTCTGCTTAAGTATAGCCTGCATTATCTGCCTTTATGACTCTAATGGGGATCCTAACTAACAAAATGAACATATTGATATATTCATTATGTTTGAAACTAACATAAACTCATCTGCACATCAGTGAAGGGTTTAGAGAGGCCATAGGTCAATGGACATTGGTGGTGGTTTTCCCACAGACTTGTAAAATCGGATTTTTTACAACCAGAAGCGTCGCCCCTGCTGGTTATTAAAGTTCAAAGCAATCGTGAACTGGGCTCCACTCTTCAGACCTTGCAGCTGTTTCCATCTTCTATAAACCCTCTCAGGTTTTGCTATGCATACCTGACTTTTAAGATGTTCTTTATTATAGACATGAAAACTAAAATTCATATTTTAGAAGAAAAAATGATAACGGTACTTAGACTCATTGGGATAATCTTTTTTTATGGTAATTAGCGCTTCAGGTGAAGCAGAAACATAAATCAAAGTATTCGGATTACATGGGGCGAAGTAAAGGATTACACCACAGGGAGTAATTGGAGTTGCCATGACTACCACTCCGCTCCACGGCAATTGGTCGTTGTCTCGCTGAGGACTGAGCAGCTATCGGGGTCTCTATGATCTCCTCGTTCGTTTTCTTTTTTTTGCCTTTATGGGAGGGGGTGTTGCTTGAATGCTGAGAGACACACTACTTTTCCTCTCGCTGAATGAGGGAACAGGGGTCTTTGCTTGCGGAGTGACTCTGCGCTCACTCTAAAGCCGTACAAGTCACAAATGAGCGGGCGTGTTTTGGTCGGTAAAGTGCCACCGCTGCAGCCGGCGACACGAGCAAGGAGGACTTTCCTTTTAACTCCAAGGTAATGTATCATTAATATTTAATCGCCGTTGGCACATTATCTGCCTTTATTTGCCCCCGACGCTAATATTCTGTTTCTTCGCGAAGAAATGAAGCTCTTCAATGGATTTAAATTCTTCTAAATATGACTTTATTTTCGATCATCAGTGTAATATCATAACAGTGTAATCGATGAAATCTAATTAATATATTATTTTTAATTATTTGACTTTGCCGTGCCGTTCACCTGTAACATTTTGCGCCATGAAGTTAAATGTCACGATCAGACATTGTTTTTGCAGTTGAAGTTATAGCATCTGTGGAAAAACAGTTTTATTCTTGGAGGACACGGGAGCGCTGCTACCACAGCTATCTGTATAATGAAGGATGTCTTCACCACTCATTCAGCTACAGTCATGCGCTCCCAGGAGCCACATCATTATTCTTTTTTTAAGCCGAAACTTTGCAGACACATTGCCAAATTGACCTACAAGATGCTTCCTCCCTCCCGTGTGCTATTTAATCTGATATGATATTTACAATATTATCAAAGGACGGTCCCTGAGAAGCCTGGATAGCTTTTTAATCCTAAAAAAAATTATGTATTTTTTGTTTTTCTTGTTCATTCAATCCACCATAGGTTGTTAAATCTACTTCCAGCTCCAGACAGTGACTAATGTCCACACTGTGCTCTGCCCCACCAACCACCTCTCAATCTTATTAAAACAGAAGAAATATTCACACTATTGCAGCTCACAAATCACAAATGGGCTCAAATCAGATATGCGTAGGAGTTGTGCCAGAGAAAACAAAATGTTAATTGCCACCCAATGTATGAAGTATGCACTACCCTAGCCTACTCCCACCCTCTCCCTGTCTGGATTTTACCTCTGAGAGCAGACAGCTTGACTTGTAATATCAACAGCCCACAGGCCCTCCTGCCTCTTCCTAGGCTGACATCCCTGTGGGGTTATTCATGGCCCCTCTGTCGCCCCTGACAGAGGAGGTATTGTTCAAACATACCACTAACATCTGTGCCTAATGTAAATCATGAAACTTTTCTCACTGTTATTCTTACTGGTATGTAAGAACTTTTTCTAAAATCCAACATTTATTTTATGTTACACTCTTGTTGTCAAGAGGTCACATATCTGTGGCCACAAATCACTTTACTAAAACGCTGCTTTTATACATCAAAAAGCCTTAAAACCAGCACACAGTGTCAAGAAAAGCTTCTTCCCTGTTTTACAGCTGTATCTATAACTCAACTCATGCCATGTGTTTAAATCCATTCTGAATGTGTGTATAAGCCATTTTTGTCTCCCTCTATTTTCCTGTGCAATTCCATGTTCCATGGCTCTGCTAATTGCAGACTGCAGACCCACAAAGAGCATTTTGAGCTCAGTAGGGAAACCAAAGAAAGGGGAAAGAACTGATTCAGCTCAAGCAGTTACTCTGCTTTTAAGAGGCATATTAATTTACCTTTTCCACTGTGCAACATTTTTGAGCGCCAACACAAATTTGATTACCACCTGTGGCTGCCAGTGGTAATGATGGGGAACATAATTATACCAAATATGAGCTGGACTTGCATTTAGCTCTCTGGAGATACCATTTTTAAGTTCACCATGGCATCATTGCTCTTCTAAAGCACTTCTTTTAAACTTCCCACTCAGATTGAACTGTTTTATCCTGTGATGTTTTGGTTGACTGAGAAGCTTTTTCTTGAACTGTATTTTCAAATATGAATGCACCCAGAGACCTGATGCCCAGTGACCAGTTTCTCTGGGGTGTGCAGGGACTGCCCGTCCCTTCTGGCCTCAGGAGAAGGGCCAATGTGGCAGCATCTGTTTCAAGGCGAGACAGGACTTCATTGAAGGCTGTTGGGAAGGGTCATGCAAGGTTCAGGAGCCTGTCACTCTGATTTCTGTCATCCTGCTTCTTTTGAGCATAACAGACTGTTTTCTAAACACTGAACTGTCAGTCGCAGTACTTTTTATTTACCACGATTCATCAGCATGTCTTGAAGCTGTGCTGAAAAACTACAAAGAGTGCTGTCCTAGCTGTGCTGTCATTACGATTTATTAAAATATGGTAAAGCTTACATTTTTCTGACTTAAAATTTACTGCCCAAGCTGACCATTTTATTATGATTGCTAGACTGGAGTTTCCCCACATGAGTTGTGGTGCAGTGTGTTTAAAAAGGTTTATTAGCTGCTGTGAAGATTGTGAATGGTGGGGTTTGTGGATTGATGAAAGTTTAAAACGGGCATAAATTTTATGAAGTCAAGAAACCCAGGGAAACAACTATTTGATGACGTCTCGTCTTATTATTTGGCACTTTGTGGTAAAACACAGTGTTATGATACACAGCTCGTTTGATAAATTTGAACTGCCACAGATTCTGGATTTGTTAAAATGAATAAATTGTAATTTGCACTTTTATTAAAATATATGGGACTTAACAAGTAGGTATGGCTTTAAATCTTATTTTTGAAGTTCCGAAAGACAGTGTTGATGTATGTATACCATAAATTAAAGAAATCTTCTGGACGCCTGACGAGTTGTTCACCATATGGTCTTGAGCTCTGATGTGTTTGTTAAGTCAAAGCAAAATAGCCAAGTTGGAATTACCTGTTTGTTTAAGCATGTGGCCTCTTCCAGAGACAGCCTGCTGAAGGCAGATGGACAAATTAATGTTGCTGCAAGACTTATCTTCTCCTCAAACACAGAGTTCTGCAGCTTTTCGTGCTTTACATTCACACTTTCAGTGGCACATTTTTGCTAAGTGGTTACTCTGTCTGGTTTCAGTTGGGACGAGAGCAGCTCCATTAGCAGTGGACTCAGCGATGGTGATGGCGATGGCTCGGAGAATCTCAGTTCAGAGGAATTCAATGCCAGCTCGTCTCTCAACTCCCTCCCAAACACACCCTTGGGATCAAGGCGCAACTCCTCTGTTATGGTTAGTGAAATACTGTACCGGCCTGTAATACAGCATGTGGCATGTGTTCTTTCCCACAGCTTATTTTGTTTGTAGCAAAAGATTGCTAAAGATTGCAGCTTAGTTCTTTACTGAAACCATTTCCAAAGCCACACCATGTGATTTAGTTTGTTGTGTGTTAAAGGCAATCCTTTGCTTTGGCAGAGGCCACAAAAGCCACTACAGAGCTTACCTTGTCACGGTACACACAGCTCTCTCCTGCTAGTCAGAAAAAATGCATGTGGCGGGAGCGTTCCTCCACTCATGAATATTTTGGGGCTTCACTGTGCAATCATCATCATCATCATCATCTTGCAGAGTTGCTAGAGTTTTCAAATGCGTCTAGTTAAGGATTCACTGCATCTATCACACAGCAGAAGTTCACTAGCTGAATTAGGTGACCCTGGCTGAAGAACCAGAATTTGAGTACCTAGTGTAATTGTGACTGTCACCATCGAAGGAATTCCAGTTCTTCCACTATTACTGCACTTCCACCTTACTGCTTCCCAAGGCTTTACTTATAATGCTTTTCCCAAAGGAAGGCGGCTGTGTTGATCCTATGCCCTGCCAAAGAGCAACCTGTAGTTAGTCCAGGACTGCTTATTTACTTGTATACTTGCCTTCATATCTGAAGGCCTGGGAGATAGTTGTCTCTCCACATAACACTGTGCAAAATGAATGCAAAATATTAAGTTATGAAATTTTTATCAGCTCTTTTATTGATGTTTGTGAAGAAAAACCTATTAGGTGCCATGTAAGTATTCCATTCCTAAAGGATGTTCTGTTAAATTTGAAAAGAAATGAGCATCAAATTTGATTTGGTTAAGTGGCCGCACATTCTACCTTTTTCATAGGTAAATGTTGTGCTTTTACTTACTTAGAAATTGGTCTCTTGGAAGAAATAAACACTAGAGCTACTCAATGTGCCATCTGTCGCTCTATAACAGGATAATATGGTGCCAAAAAACAGCATGCCCAATTTTGCCCTCCGTGCTACCTCCTCGGTGCACCACATGATTTTTCTATTGTTGTGTAGCAGTTTTTTATCTACTATATAGCCCTAAATTACAAAAATAATGCTCTAGCTGTCCTCTGCTGTAATATTTTCTTTTTTACTGTTTAATGTGTTGATCTAACTCTTAAAGTGTTAAATCCTTGGACATGTTTTTGTTCTTTCTTTTGTCTCTGTGGGTTTTTGTTTTTTTTTTTTTATCCCCTTGGGACGTATCAGTTTATCTCTCCCTCCTTCCCACTGGAATGCAGCTCAGATGGGATAAAGATTACAGAGAACAGTCAATTCCATAGATAACACAAACCATGTCTGATGGTTGCCCACATTGTGTCCTTCCTCTCTCTACAGCTCCGCACTGATGCAGAGAAGCGCTCTCTGGTGGAAAGTGGACTTTCTTGGTACAGTGAGGATGGCAAAAGCACCCATAAGCTTGGTAGCTCCAGCTTTGACTCAGGAAGTCTCAAGACAGAGGCACCAAGCAAGTGGAGAAAGAAGCCTCCAAGTCTTAGTGAAGATTTTGGCGGTAAAGGGGAACTGAAGAAGCCTCAAAGTTTGGGTCAACCAAGAAGTTTCAAGAAAAGCAGAAATCCTCCTGTGGGTGTGACCTCCCCCATCACCCATACCTCCCAGAGTATGCTCAAAGTCGCAGGTGACATTTTCTTTTTAAAAACTTTTTTTTTTACTTTGCATCTGCGTGTATTTTATCCCTAACCATTATTTCTTCTGCTCGTCTCATGTAGTAACTTGGTGTGTGGCCAATGTTCTTAAATGTTTATAGCTTTAACACTTATACAGTCTATTATCTCACTTTTATGTGGAGTCCAGCAGTCCATAGCAGTTTATAGAACAGTTGATGTGAGTTTGGTAACAAAATAAATACAGAAGTTTACTCCTAAATGTAAGCTAGGCTATGATTCATACATACGTTTAAATTCATTTCACTTAAATAAAGAAAGTATTGCAGTTTCAGTTCCAGACCTTCTATTATCTTAAAGCAAAGTGTGTTACTCTACATGTCTGCAGAGGCACTGCCTTCCGTCTGCAGCAGCTTTTTAAATGTCCTCTAATCCCTAACAAAACAAGCCATGATTAAATAATAGCTTAGATTTGAGTTCCAGTAAGAACATTTGGCTGGCCTGTTTTTCATTTTAATTTCCTCAACCTAATTTTAGCTTTAAAAATAGTAAGTCGTTAAAATCATATCCAGTTCTGTGTAATTTGGCTGCAGGTTGAAGGTGGAAAAAAGTTCTCTTGGCTGTTGTATTTTAAACCGTATACTATATTTGACAATGACTCCATAAGTTAGCTGTTTTTCTATCTGCTTTCATGAATGTACTGTAACCTGAACTTTAGCTACTTTAATGCTAAAGTAGCTAAAGTTTAAAAAAAAAAAAAAGTAAGTAGAAAAAAATATCGGGGTTTGACTCTTTTTTTTGTCCAATATACCCTCTTAAAAATGATTTACTTCCATTTGTCTTAAATGAACAAATAAATTTAGTTGGTTAATTCACTACTATAGGCTTTAAAATATTGTTAAAACTTTACTTTCCATCGTTTTAAATAAAAGTCTTTTTTTGTGAGTCACTCTAAACATCAAGGAACACATAAAGGTTCTTTTAGTGCAGACAGATGTGTTTTGTTTTATCTCATCAGTAATAGCAAAAATGGCATGCATTTCTACTCTCATGTGGTTTGCTAGCCCATAAATATCCCTCAACAAATAACCACCCATTTATTTATTTGAATACTTTCTTCTGACAGGGTGTGATTATATTAAGAGGAAGGCTATGGTCACTGTGGCTGAAAGACAAATAGAACTAATCACATTCCCCCAAATTCCTGCTGCTTTTATAAGTATTTAAGTTATTTAAGTTTTTAATGTCAATGTAATATGTTTTTTTCTTTCTGTCTGTCTAACTAGCACCAAAAAGTGAGAAGCCACTGGACAAATCCAAGATTTCCATCAGAACTGCTGGTCTGCAGCGTTCCCGTTCAGATGCTGGCAGAGATCATCATGGAGAGCACCGCAAGCCCCCTTCAGGTCTAGTTAAACCCACTGCTGGAACCTCCTTTGGCTACAAGAGACCACCAACAGCAACTGGTACAGCAACCGTCATGACAGCAGGGGGTGCCACCATCTCTAGTGGCTCTGCTACTGTGGGAAAAACCCCCAAGTCATCTGGCATCCCTGTGAAACCTGTAGGAGGAGGAATACCCTTGGGTAGAAAGAACAGTTTTGATGCCAGCAGTGAGCAGAGCTTCCTGGGGCCAAACGCCCGAAACAGCATTCAGTACCGCAGCCTGCCCCGACCGGCCAAATCAAGCACACTTAGTGTGATTGGGCGCCCCACAACTCGCCCTGTCAGCAGTACAATTGACTCTAGTCTGCTGTCCTTGAAACCTGTACCCATAACTTCTTCAGGCCCCAGGGTTAAAGAACCAAGTAGCTCCAGCATTAAAATAACTAATCGAACAAGTACTGGCCCAGTAAACCAGACAGACCGAGAGAAAGAAAAGGAAAGGGCCAAAGCTAAGGCTGTGGTTGCAGACATCGACTGTGCTTCGCTAAAAGGAGAACACGCACCATCCGAATCAACAGGAGAGTCTTCCGTGAAACTGCATGGCCTGAGACGAACTAGCAGCAGCAAATACCCCGAATTGTCATCACCCACCATACCAAGGTTTGTCATTTTATTGATGTTCTGAGGGTTTTTATTTTCATTTTAGTTCAATTCAGTTTTATTTATATAGTGGCAAATCGCAACAACAGATGCTTCAATGCACTTTATACCGTAAGGTAAAGACCCTACAGAAATACAAAGAAAACTGAGAAAACCCCAACAATCATATAACACCCAGTGAGCAAGAACTGTGGTGACAGTGGAAGGTGAAACTCCCTTTTCACAGGAAGAAACCTCCAGCAGAACCATACAGAGACATGCAGTAGAAGAGAGCCAACGATTAATAATAACGAATAATTCAATGCAGAGAGGTGTATAAACACATGAGCGAAAAAGGTGACTGAAGAAGAAATACTCAGTGCATCAAGGGAATCCCCCAGCAGCCTACAACTATTGCAGGGTAACTAAGGGGGGCTTCAGTGTCACCTGGTCCAGCTCTAACAATATGCTTTATCAAAAAGGAAAATTTCAAATCTAATCTTAAAAGTAGAGAAGGGTGTCTGTCGCGCCAACCCAAACTGTAAGCTGGTTCCACAGAAGAGGGGCCCGAAGGCTGAATACTCTGCCTCCCATTCTACTTTTAAATACTCTAGGAACAAGTAAGCCCGCACTCTGAGAGTGAAGTGCTCTAATAGGGTGATATGGTACTACAAAGTCATTAAGATAAGATGGGAGCTGATTATTCAAGACCTTGTATGTGAGGAGCAGGATTTTGAATTCAATTCTGGATTTAACAGGGAGCCAATGAAGGGAAGCCAATACAGGAGAAATCTGCTCTCTCTTTCTAGTCCCTGTCAGTATTCTTACTGCAGCATTTTGGATCTGCTGAAGGCTTTACAGGGAGTTTTTTTCAACATCCTGGTAATAACTAATTGGAGTAGTCCAGCCTCGAAGTAATAAATGCATGAACTAGTTTTTCAGCATCACTCTGTGAAAGAATGTTTCTAATATTAGAGATATTACGCAAGTGGAAGAAAACAGTCCTAAATATTAGTTTAATATGTGCATCGAAGGACATATCCTGGTCAAAAATGACTCAGAGATTCCTCACAGTGTTACTGGAGGCCAGGGTAATGGCATCTAGAGTAAGCATCTGGCTAGAAATCAGATTTCTAAGACTTTTAGGGCCAAGTACAATAACCTCAGTTTTATCTGAATTTATGTCTTTAAGACATCCCTGCAGTTTAACTAATTGGTGTGTGTTATCTGGGTTCATGGATAGATAAAGTTGTGTGTCGTCTGCATAGTAGTGAAAATGTATGCTAAGTCCATAATTAGCCTTAGTTTGTGAATAAAACTCTCTATTTACATGAACAAATTGGAGTCTGTTAGGTAGATACAATTCAAACCACTTCATCCCACTACCTTTAATACCTACAGCATGCTCTAATTGCTGTAATAAAATGTTTATGGTCAGTAGTATCAAAATCTGCACTGAGGTCTAGCAGGACAAGCACATGGAAGGGGGAGTGAATAGAGCTAGGGAAAAAAAAGGCAACATTGAATTAAAAAAAAAAAAAATTGGGCAAAAGGCTTTAAAATAAACTGCATTCAATACTTAACAGGTTTTAAAATGTTCAGTTTCCTTTTTCATCATCATGTCTTTCATGCTTCAATCCTAGGATGCTGAACACTAAGTCTCTAGGTCGTCCTCCTAGCTTGGCTCACCTGGACAAGGTCAACTCAAACAGTCTTGACTCCTGTGTGACAATACAGGACCTTCCACCCAAAGTGCCCCCATACTCCAAGCTCCAAGACTTGGCTAGTTCCCACACGGCCACCCGCCTAACCCCTAGCCCAGCGCCAGTCCTTCATATTGATTCACCCAGCCCTTACGCAAGTGAAAGCCTGAGTGGATCGCCGATACTCTACCCCAAACTGTCAGGCATGCACCGCAGCTTGGAGTCCCTGCCCCTCCAGATGAGTGTGCCTGCAAGTGCAAGGTTTGTTACAACAAACACCCGTGATAAAGAAGAGAGGAGTACAGGAACCTGGGGGGCTGGGAGTAGGACGTCCCTCACCCTCTCAGACAGGCAAGTGTCTGAAATATGTAATGTAAACTGTGTCAAAACGGATATGTTTGGGGGAAAAAAGGGGTTATGCAGTTTTAATGTCATCAGTGTATGTTGTTAGAGAGTTTCTGCTAAAGAGTAACTCTGAACAGACAATTGGTTTTGTCTCCTTAGAGGAGAAAAAAATGCTTAATACTTCTGCAACTAATTTGAAAAAGCATCAAAGTTTAAAAAACAAACCCTCAAAAAATTGAAGCAAAACCTTGGACCAAAAAACTATTTTATTTTTCATTTTGCTATCATTCAGGGATTCCTAATTCAATTGGCAATACAAGAAATGCTCATTGCACAAGAATTCAGTCATAAAAATGTCCACATGTCTTTTCATTAGAACAATCACAAGACTTTGCATTTATCCTACGAGCAGCTAAGGATGAAGCCCAGCTAAGATGAAGTTTCTGTGTGATGGTTTGGCTATACATTTCTGGGCAGCTGACACTCATTTCACTCATATTATATGTGCCTTTTTCTGGGAAAGGAGAGTCCACGGTCTCATTTTGAAGATGAAGAGCTGCATCTATCACAAAATTTCTCTTTATTGAGATGGAGATAATCCAGATACTTTCCTGCCAAAGGAATGTATGTTTAGGCAGACCCAGGCCATGTTTTCTGAAAATTGTGTTTTTACTCTTTTCTTTACAGCTTGCAAACAGATCGGAATACCTTGCCAAAGAAAGGCTTAGAGTATGTCAAAACACTTATTGTCAAATTGTCTATTTAAAATCATGCACTATGCTGCATCTTCAAGTAAATAACCTTTCTTTTGCAGACGCTATGGCTCAAACCTATCAGAGAGTGAAGAAAGTAAGCCAGGAAGACGGCACTCCCACAACATAGTCAGCATGACAGAGAGTGATAGCCCCCCTCAGTGGCCTTCTCCTACCCGCACCCTGCACCCATTATCCAATAAGATTCCTCTCACCAATGTGGGTGAGTTTATGTGTTCCATTTTGGCTGGCTAACAAGTTTTAAAAGCCCTCACTTTTTGAGCTTTAACATTAAGGGCTAATCTTTGATTAGCGATGCTTCTTTTTGTTGAGCTTTGAGAGGACAGGGCTATGGAGCTCGTGCTGAGAGAAAAACTTTTACAGTTGAGCAGGGTTTGCACAAGTTGTCAGTAATGCATTCTGTATTGTGAGTGAAAAAGTATTGGCCAGATGTTTTAAAATAGATTTTTTGAAAATCTGAATTGAATTATGCCATATGAACAACTACTTAAACTTGAGTTTAGGTTCAAAATATGCTGGAGATGAATGCAACAGGGGTCGAGTGAGGCTATATATATTGCTGTTGTGTCAGTGTTGCTTTACACTTAGTCATCAGAATGAGAGTGCTATACTGTACCAAGGTGTAGGACTGTTTTGTATGCATATATGTATCTGTGTGGAGCACTGAACCATACCAACTATCTGTTATGATAGTTGCCCCAATTTCCAGTGGCACCCCAAGGATATCGCGGTCCAACAGCATAGGCCCCCCAAGTGATTCTGCCTGCGATCTCTATGGATCCTCCCCTCTGGGCAGCAGTATGTCCCTGGTTGACCGTCCAAAAAGCATGATGCGGTCTGGGTCTTTCCGTGAACCAGGAGAGGATGGTGAGTCTGTTTGACTCACTTCCCTGCAGGGGAGCTTTCCAATATGACCTCAAATGAAACAAAGCTGTCTACTCATACTGCACACAATCTGTCTATCTGCAATCTAAGCAGAATGTTAGACTCGTTTAAGGGCATAATCTGTGGTGAAAATATATACAAAACAGCAACATTTTAATCCTGCTACAACTCTTTGATAATTTACAGACATTTTAATACAGAGTCCAACATTAGGATACCCCTAACTTCAGTTTCTTAATGAATTGGTTTGTTTTTACACATTTAAGTATTTTTTTAATTACAGAAATCTGAATGAATTTTAAACAGGATATGCTTTATTTTTAACTGTATGAAGTCAGCTAAGTCACATACTGTTTTATAATGTTATAGAATATTGAATAGGATTTGAGGGAGCCTTTGGTATATTAAAAAATATTTAATTTCTAGATTCTTTAGTCATTTATTTATCATTTTGGTCTATGATTATTTCAACATTTCTTTGTTACTTTGCAAATTAAAGCTGCCTTCTGTGAAACTAAATTTTAATATTAAGCTTACAACTCTACCTTGTGTTTTCAGTGCATGGCTCTGTGCTGTCTTTGGCATCTAATGCTTCATCCAACCATTCCTCAGTGAGTATTTACAGTCTCTTTTTTGTAGCATAGGAAATGTTTTACTTTTAATCTTGTAGCATTGTACTTCCTCTTTATGTCTACAAATCATCCAGGAGGCTGTTTTTTAAAAGTATTTCCTGTGTAGGATAAGGGTGAATTTCTCATTAGGAGACCAGCTTCCATAACTACAAGTTATCAACTGGTTTGACATGGGAAAGTTCTTGTATGCATTTATGAAACTGTCCAGCTGATTCCTAAGCCTCTTCATGAGCTGGTATCGGGGTAGTGATAACTATTCTGAGTTATATTTGTTTTGATGACTAGTTTTAATGACTGCCCGTGAACTGAATCCTCTACACTATCCCTCTTACTTTCGCCATGCTTTCTTAAGAATGAGGAGAGGATACAAGGGGAGGTAAGGCAAACATGCCATACGTCTTCAGATCCCATTTTGCATTTGTACTCGCCGTCTGTCATTTCCTGTTGAAATGGGTTCTGTCATCAGATGGTGTCACTGGTGCTTCAGAAAGTCTGAGATTATATCTCAGAAGCTCATAACTCAGTTCATTCAGTTCATTTAGTTTTATCTTTAATATTTTGTGTTCTTTAACAATACATTCTAACATTTCATAAAGACAGCCAGTTCTCATTAAATTCTGAGTGCATGAGAAATAAGTTGAAAAGAGACTTTCATCCAATTTCTGTTGGTTTAGAGTATATTTCTGGATTATTTTGATTGCTGTGGTGGAGCATTAACCTTCATGTTACATTGTTTATACATTCTTTGATTTAACCAAACAAAGCTATGCATTTAACACATTCCATTACTGCATTATCATTATCAAAGTTTGTGTTAACATCTTCATCAGCTCTGGTTTTATGTCTGAGGTATTGTGTATGGTGCTGTGGTCATACTGTTCAAACTTGATTTACTATTTGTCTACAGCAAATCCGCAAGTTGAGACGGGAGCTGGAATCCTCCCAGGAAAAGGTTGCCAACTTAACCGTGCAGCTTTCTGCCAATGTACGTAAGCCTTACCCCTACCTCCTGTATCTCTCCACCCTCGTTTTCTGTCTGTTTTCCAAAGTTAATCTGATAATAACTTGGCTACATAACAGGTATTCTCTCAAAGTGCTCAACCACAAATGTAAATTCCACTTGATTTAAGTCATTGAACTTTTGTCCCATAACCAACTAAAAGCAGGTGTACCCGCAGTTTTGTGAGGCTTATCTGGGTGTGTAAATCTTTGCTAATCTAAGAAAATAAAAAAAACTACATTAGTTAACTTTAATGTAGTCTAACTGTAACCCTGGCATCTACTTAAACAGCATGCTGGACACAGAACCTAAGATTTACCCCTCTAATTGCACTTAGGCCGAATTACGTCTTCTCTCTCTATAACTACTTTCCCCCCGCATTTATTAAAATCTGTATCCTCTTAAACAAAATCATGTAACCCTACACCCGGCTACTCGCTTGTAACTTTGTTTCTACCAGCTTTCCCATCCCAGCTACTTTTAATTATCTTATTGTACAGCTTGTGACCCTTTAATCTGCAGTTTCTGATGCAGTAGACAACATTCTTCTTTTGCACATGCACTAACAGGCTTTGCTGTTGACTAATCTGGATGTTTTGATGTATGTATGGGGAACTAAGTGTGTTTGTTGGTCTGTCCGTATGTTTTTGTAAGAGGTTTTCGCTCTCCTAACACCATTATCCCTCTTTTTTACAACCTGGGCTGCATTGACTGCTGGACTCACTGCTGCCCTCTGCCTGCCTCCCACTGTCCTGTACCTCTGGATGCTGTGTGTAGCAGCTAGGCCAGGTTTGTTAGTTACTTTCAGAGCACCCTGTTTCACTCTCTTGTGACATCTGACATGGTGGTCTTGTGTTGTGGTGTGGCGTAAGCCTTCCGATTTGAATGCTAATTTTCATTTTAAATAGAGCTACGACTAACAGTTACATTCATTATTTAATATAAAACAGCTGATCTAAAAAAATGTTGCAGCACAGTTTTCTGAGGCGTCTCTTTGTATAGTTTAACTTTGACTTATTTTTTACTTTTAGGTTTTAGTTTTGTGGCTGACATGAGTTTTACTGGAACGTCTTTCCGGTAGTGTAACATATTAGGTTTGCTGAAGGTCTGCTGCTCTTAGTGACAATTCAGTAGCTGACTGCTCTTTATTTAGGTGGTTAGGATAGCTTTAAAAGCTTCTGAGGAGGTCAGCAGCAAACCTAATGATGAGTCAAGCAGTATGAGACAAAAAATGTATTTTAGGTAGCTCTAAATGTATACCAGAGGGTAGTAACAAGTGGACTTTTGGACATGGAAGATATTCTAAAACAACTGAAAAAATAAGTCTGCAAAAAGATCCTTGTAGAAACTATTTATTGTAAAACAAAGAAAAACTCACATGTACCTGTTAACTAATTAAATGTGATTTTGTTATCCATGGCTTTTGAGGTTAACAACCTTTGTCCCATAGTGCAACATCCCCTTGAACATTACCACCATTACCATAATGTCCTTTTTTACCTCTGACATCATCCGCAGCTGTTGACTCTTCCATCCCTTCTATCCTCTCCCAGCAGATGAAGAAAGCTATTTGTTCGACGTGGTGTGAGTGTGTGAGGCTGCAAATCGATTTGTTTCAGCTGGTGACTCATACCTGTCTGCTGCCTCACCATCCTTCACACACAGACACACACTCTCTCTTTGTAGCCTTTTAACTCTGTGTCTTTCTCTCATAGGCTAATCTGGTCGCAGCATTTGAACAAAGTCTGGCCCTGATGACAGCACGCCTGCAGACACTGTCTGTCTCCTCAGATCAAAAGGTATTTTGGCGATATTACATCGATGATTGAATACTATAACGGTAGCGAAGTCTGTGCCAGTCTCCATTTATTTACATGAGGAAATTTGATGAGAAAAGTAGGTAACACTAGAAACACGCCATAAACAATCTCTTACATGACAGCTAAAAGCAGACAGAAATTACTACATAATCAGCAAATAAATTCCAGTGATGTTAATCATAAACTATGCACTCTGCTCATTAGGTTAGTTTTGTGAGTGAAAAAGAGACCAAGTTGCATAGTTGTCATGAAAATGAGATGCGAGTCATGATAGGATTTCGATGTTGTCACTCAACACAACCTGACATCCTTAGTGAAAGTGAAGAGGCATTCCACAGTCGTCGGTACAGAAAAATCTTGGCTCAGTTACTAACCCATCAACTAACATGACTACATACTGATGTTTCCTTAAGGACTCTGAGCTTACTGAATTGAAGGACACCATTGACATTCTGAAGGCCAAAAATACTGAAGCCCAGGAAATCATTCAGGGGGCCCTCAGTAATCCTGATGTCACACCCAAAGGTACAGACTGCGCTTTATGATATACAGTAGGATTTTGACTGTCATATACTTCTGTCTCCTTGTTCAACTCTTCTATTTTCTTTTGGGTATTCAGAGCTGCAGATCAACCGCCAGAACTCCTCAGAAAGCCTCTCCAGTCTTACCAGCACCACCAGCCACTCGAGCATGGGCAGCCTCAAGGAGCAGGAGGCCAAGAAGAAGAAGAAGAAGAGCTGGGTGAGGAAACACTGGTCACTGACTAAATTTGTGCCTAAGAAGTTCACCAGGAGTCTTAATGTACCATCCTGTATGGCATCTGTGCAGGACAATATATGGCAGGAAAAACAAATACATTTCATCGTTTCATACAAATCATCAGGAAACGAGATGAAAGTAACAATATTGGTATCAATTTAGTGATTCCAAATTGATCAGACTGACCACATTCAGTGACTGTGTTGATAAAACTGGGTCGTTTTGTTCTTTTTGTCTTACATATAACATCTGAAATGTATGGTGGAGCTATAGAATTATAATTGCTTTTAATTGTGATTATAACAATACAGCTCAATGGTTAAATGGATGAATATTTTAAATGAATGAACATGTCTTGCTTCCTTTTCTTGTTGTGTCTTGTGTGTTCAGACTGAAAAAGTCAGTTGTTGTCCTACTTTACGCTCCTGCTTGTGTGTGTGTGATTCGCCTCCTGTCTTGTTCCATCTTTCGTATTAAATATGACTCTGGTCTCTCCCTCATGCTGCCCCGCTTTTTTATTTTAGGTCTTTGAGGTGAGTGATGTTGCTACAGTAAATAAAACTCAAACCTTTTCCACTCCAGCCTGCATGTGCTTTGAGTCATACTTCCTAAATGTTGGGAAATGTTCTGTCATCCCTTTTTTTGTTTGTCTGTTTTTCAAACATACACAGTTACTGTATGATTTAATCATGCTTTATTATTAAATGTTTATTATTAAATTTATTGTCTTGTGGACTTCAAACTGCTGTTACAATTTTCAGGAACTGAAAACCCCAACATACTAAATGAGTTTTATTAAACTAGTTTGCTGTAAATCTAACATTTCACCAACTTTTTTTTGTTTGGAAATTTATATTTGCCTACTTTTTGTTTAAAAAAAGCCACATTCTGTGAACTCTCAGGTCATCACAATCACTTTTTAAGAATTTCTTTTCAGCTGCCTTTTGCTTTTATTCTTGTTTTTTTCCCAGGCTTGTTATTTATTACATCTCAATTTCATGTATTCTCCCAACAGTTACGCAGCTCATTCAACAAGGCTTTTAGTAAGAAGGGCTCAAAGCCAACTGGGCCATATGCTGACATTGAAGAGATTGCCACCCCAGAATCCTCAGCACCTTCCTCCCCCAAAATCCACCATGATGGAGATAACCCTCCGGTGTCAATGAAATCCTCAGCCTCAGCATCATCTTCAAGGTACCATACAAGGATCTTTATCATTGTTCTATTTATATGCATATCAAATAAGGAATTGAATCACAATATAAATAAATACAAACTTCTCGTAGATGTGAAAACAGAATATCACAGAACTATGTAAAATTGTTATTTTCCTGTCATTCCTCTGATCCCTGCTACAGTACCATAATGATAATTTTCCCATAATTTCATTGTCACCAGACTCTCTGAAGGGAGTGAGGCAGGTGATGATAAGGTTGTAACAGACCTGCGCACAGAACTGTGGGAGAAGGAGCGTAAACTGACAGACATCCGCCTCGAGGCTCTGAGTTCAGCCCATCAGCTGGAGCACCTGCAGGAGGCCATGAACAACATGCAGGTATATATAATTTTGTCTTTTGTTTGTTTCATAAAAAGGTTGGCCTCAAAGTGCATTTCATTTTCCAGCCGGATGTTTATTTTATGAAGATTTTTGTCTAGACCAGTTGATTTGCTTTTGTAAAAATCTTACCCTTTAGTGTTTTGTATTTTGCAATTGGTAAACAGTGCAGTGATCGGTAATTTTTTATTTATTTATTTATTTTTAAATAGAGGACAATCGAAAACCTGAAGGCTGAGAACGACCATCTGAAGACAGGTACTTTGTCTCCCTGTCCATCTCCTGGACCCTCCAGCTCTGTTTCCCAGTCCTCAGGTCTCACTGCTCTGGGAAGCTCATCACCCCGACAGTCAGTAGCCATGCACGTGCCTAAAAGCTACAGCAGAGGGCTGAGTGAGGGGAGCAGCTCAGGTACAGCTCCGTCTTTGACATTTATATTTATAGGAGTAAGAATGCAACAATGAGTCCCATAACTGGGTAAAAAAAACAAAACAGAACAGTGAAAATAAGCATGTTTATCTGAATGATAAAAAGAACTTCTCAACCGAATTTATTTGAAGAAAAAATAATTTAATGTAATTCAGTATCACTGAAATCATTGGATTTTCTAGAATCCCTATAATTGCCTCATGCCATTATTTAGAATCTATATGCCCAGAGATTAAATGTCTGATAACAATAAAAATTAAAGTTACAGTGTCAAGGAAGTCAAAATCCATTACTTGTTTCCTTGGTCATTTAATAGATGGTGATGTAAAAATCCATGCTTTTGTTCTGAAGTCTATAAAATATGATCTTTTAAAATTACAGTTCAGTAGATACAGAATATAATGCAAAATTAACACTGCTTGTTTTCAACTTTCAACTTGTGCCTCATTAGCTTTCTTTTTTCTGTTTATACACTCTTTGATTTACTGCTTAGCAGACATCCACACTGCAGATTCTCTCAGCCTTTCCTCACAGAGAGATGACCATCGTGTCAGGGTCGTGGTTTGTGTTGCGGATCTACGTGTCTTTAAAGATGTATGTTTTCGTAAATTTGCTTTTTCTAAATCCTTCCTTTCCTCTTAAATTGCCTCTGCCATCTGTGAATCACCTATTAACTTCACTTTGTGTCAACAGGAGGTTAAACAGCAGGATTTCTTTGTCGGCACTGTCAGAGTGAATGGCAGGATGGATTGGGTGATGCTTGACTCAGCTGTCAGCCAGGCTTTTAAGGTGAGAAATCCTCACTCACTGCAACCTGTTAAAAAGCTGAATGCAAATTTGAAGCATGCTTACAATTACAATTCAGCTGTCACATTAACTTTAGCATCAAGAGGAGCATCAGGAGTGCTGTTCAGAGGTGTAAAGTAAGACACAGAAAACATACATACCAGTGCTTCTGAAAATGGTATTTAATTCAAAAACTCATATCTTCTACATTCACATAAAGTGAAATATTTAAAGCCATTTCTCTTTTAATTTTGATGACTCTGGCTTAGAGCTCATTAAAATTAGAAATCCAGTGTCTTAAGTTATTATGATTTTCCCAAGATCAAACAAAAAGAGTTTATAGTAGAGAAACGTTCAACATCTGTAGTATCCTCATCATGGACCAGCAACCACCATTAAAACCAGCAGATGATATGGCACCCCTAATCATTATAGACTGTGGAAATTTCGAACTGGACTTCAAACTTCTTGGATTCTCTACCTCTCTACTCTTCCTGCAGTCTCTTGGGACTTGATTTTTAAAATGTAAACAGTAGACAGTAAATCTTTGAAATGTAAAGTTTACAGTCATCTAAAAAAATGAGACTTTGTACCATTGAGCAACAGTCAGGTCCAGCTGTAGTTCTAGCACTTTGCTGAAGATATCTGTATCTTAAACTAACCTCACTTCACTCCTTGTGAATCTCTTCCAAGTTCTTGAATTGACTTTTTCAACAGTCCTCTCAAGACTGAGGACATCCTTGATGGTTGCACACCCTTTCCTACCACCCTTTTCCCTTCCAGTCAACTTTCCATTAGTATGCTTCAGTACAGCCTCTGAAGACAGTCAGCCTTTTAGCAATAACTTTCGCTAGGTTACTCTCCTTGTGGGAAATGTCAGTGATCATCGTCTGGACAACTGTCAAGTCGGTAGTCTTCTGCATGATTGTGATTGCATATACTGAACTGACAGGTACACAGTATTCATACCATTTTAATAGTACTTTACTTAAACTTAAATTGAAATATTCGAATATTTTGAGTTATTTTTTTATGGAAGGAACTTTAGGGTTTAACTATCAAAACGAATATTGAAAATTTAATATATGATAAACTAAATGGAAATTACAAACTTTTTCATAATTCTAGTTTTTGAGCTGCATCTGTAAACTTAAAATAACTTTCTGATTTTGTTATGAGGGTAATGGGCTTGAAAGATCATTCATTTTATTTATGTGGTGGTAATAAAACCAAATGTGTTGTGTGGAGGAATAGCTCTAAAACTATTTTTTTGTTATACTGTACATATTTTTCTTTTTCTTCTTGTAAGGAGTTTTCTTTACTTAGTTTTACTCAGTTCTGCTTTTCTTTACTTTTTCTTCCAGGTATATATAGCCAAGGTGGACCCTACCTCCAGTCTGGGACTGTCTACAGATTCCATCTACAGTTACAGTATGGGCCACATTAAGAGAGTGCTGGGAGGAGAAGCTCCTGAGACACAACCCTCTCGCTGCATGTCACGAGGCCCCAGTAGCATCACAGTGGCACTGAAAGGTTTGCAGAAAATGTATAACTTCTAAAGTACTACTAAATTTAAGATGTTTTATTCACAGAATTAGAAGTAAATTCATTCAGATTAGTATTGAAACGTAAAGTTTGGAATTCAACATTCAAATTTCCTAATTCACAATGATTTTTGTATGAGGCTTTTTTTTTTTTTTAGCTTGAACCGACTTCTCTACAATCATTTGTGGTCAAAACCAATGAACTGCACTGTTCTGATCCTCGGTCAAAGCAGCTGATGAGGTCATTATTTCTCCCCAAACGCTATTTTATTAAAATAATTATTTTTGACAGTTGTGACCTGAAACACTACACTTCATGTTATCCATATGTCTGTCCGATTCAAACACTGAATTATATTTAAGGAAGAACTAATTAGAATTTAATGGTCAAAAGTGTTTGTTTGTTTTACCCCACAAAAATGATTTTTGGCCTTGATGCAAGAATTCAAATGCATTCCTATGTATATTATAACAAAGTTCAACAAATATCAATACAATAAAATTATGTGATTTATATCTAGAAGGTCAAAGGTCATGTCTAAACAGATATAGATGTAAACAACAACGTGACCTGCTGTCAGAGGCTCACTTAGCGTTATCACTAGGATTATATATTTGAGGTATAAGCATTTACCCTTTGGCACTGTTTTGTTTTGTTGAGTTGCACACATGTTGAGCCCATCAGTGATTCTAAACCAGAGTGATGATTGGTGGGAACAGTCATGGTTCTGGTTTGGTGGTTGACCCCGCTCCACCTTCGCATGCAGGAATGCGAGGAGCCAAGTGCTCGGAGAGCTGGGAAAGCAGCGGCAGCCCAGACAGGGCTCTGAGTAACATGATCTCAGGGCAGTCAGGCCCAGCTGGTTGACCAGCGTCAGACACATGGGCCCCATAGATGTTAAGGAAGATTGCACTTCTGCAGGCTGGGGGATGGGGGTGCAAAGACTTCCTACACTTGATGCAGAACTATTTTTAGAGTGAAATGCTTGAGCTCTGTGCTGATTATGAAGGACATGCAAAGTAATATAAATCTGTTTTCACAACATCTTCTGACTGAAGCCAGTCCAGTTTGCAATGTGTATTTTTTCTGGTATAGATATTAACAGAATTCCAATCAAGCATTTAAATATTATGTATCAAACTGCACTTTATCACCATCGCTGATACATCCAATGTAATTAGCAGATAGTCATCAACTTTGTTTATTAGAGCAGTTGATCATGCAAGTCATTCTTTCTTTCCTTCACTATGCTCAGGTTTGAAGGAGAAGTGTGTGGACAGCCTGGTATTTGAAACTCTCATTCCCAAACCCATGATGCAGCACTACATAAGTCTTCTACTCAAACATCGTCGTCTGATCTTGTCTGGGCCGAGTGGCACTGGGAAGACGTACCTCGCTTCCCGGCTGGCTGAGTACCTGGTGGACCGCAGTGCTCGCGAAGTCACAGATGGCATTGTGGTCACTTTCAACATGCACCGCCAGTCATGCAAGGTAACAGAAACTGATGTGCCCTTAAAGATCCCCACAATTCTTCTTCCACAGACTGAGTTTGTCCAGTCTGCACCTGTATGATTTTACTTTTATCATTTTGTATTGCAATCTCTGTCTCTTTCTTTGTAGGATCTGCAGCTTTATCTTTCTAATTTAGCGAATCAAATAGACCGGGAAAGCGCAACGGAAATACCATTGGTGGTTATTCTGGATGATATTCATGATCCTGCTTCCATCAGTGAACTTGTCAATGGTGCTCTAACCTGCAAATATCACAAATGGTAAACTTCGTCTCCATGAATACAACTTGATAAACCATAGTTATGTAGGTGCTGAATGTGGCCTTAACTGTGCAATATTGTTTAGCCCTTACATTGTTGGAACAAGCAATCAGCCAGTGAAGATGATTGCAAACCATGGCCTGCATCTCAGCTTCAGGTTGGTTATAAATGACTATGTAACTAATATATAGCAATAACCTGTTGAAACTATTAATGCTGGTTGAAGAATTTTTGCATGCTTCATTCAATAATGCTGTCCCAGTACTATAAGTAAGAGGATAATGATAGGCTTCTAAAAGCCAAAAGACCAAAATAAAAAGACGTCTTTATAAATATTAACATTAATAGTAGTTTATAAAGAATAGCTCATTTCTATCATTTTAACATTAACTATAAACTACAATGTATCTAATGTTGGTGTAGCTTAAAGGTAAACCTTCTTAAATAATGAAATATGTTGTTAACAAACTATTAAGTCTAGCGTTGTGACATGCAATGCTTCTCATTGTCTCAGGATGGTGACCTTCTCCAATAATGTGGAGCCAGCCAATGGCTTCCTTGTGCGATACTTGCACAGGAAGTTGATGGAGTCCGAAGATGAGAGGAACTTGACCAATGAGGATCTAATCAGGGTGTTAGACTGGGTTCCCAAACTGTGGTATCATTTGCACACCTTCCTAGAGAAGCACAGCACATCGGATTTCCTCATAGGTATGAAGCACTTGAGACTTTAGGAATGAAGAAACAGGTTTAGTTTCGATGTGATAGTTGTTGCTGCATTCTCACTCTTCTTTCTGCTTTTTTCTCTTTAGGCCCTTGCTTTTTCTTATCCTGTCCAGTCACAGTGGATGAGTTTCGATCATGGTTCATTGATCTTTGGAACCACTCTATCATACCATACCTGCAAGAAGGGGCCAAGGATGGCATCAAGGTGAACCACTTTAATCATTTAAAGTGAAAACTTTTAATCAGCTTTTATTGATTAGGGCAGCCATAACAGCAAATAAAATAAGTAATTCTTGTTGAAATAAAACTTGGTCAAGATTAATTTGCAGTTTGATTATTCTCTGAAAGCACCATTGTATTTCCTTTCACAGGAAATGCTGTAGTCTAATTTTACTTTGGTGCTATGTTGTGACTCCTCAGGTCCATGGCCAAAAGGCAGTATGGGAGGACCCAGTGGAGTGGGTGAGGGGCACCCTGCCTTGGCCATCTGCCCAGCAGGACCAGGCAAAATTGTTCCACCTACCTCCTCCCAGCATCGGCTCCAGCAGCCCCTGCCAGCCAAGTGAGGAGAGGCCTCACAAAGAGACTCCGCCCAGCTCCATGGAAAATGATCCTCTGGTAATAGAGACAGTGTCCCAATACTTTCTATTATTTCTTAAACTGATCTGTAAACCAGAGAAGTTCTAATTTCCCAAATCTCTCTTTTGTTTTTTTATAGATGGCAATGCTTTTGAAACTTCAAGAGGCTGCCAATTTCATTGAATCACCAGACAAAGAAGACCCTAGCCTGCCTAAACTTTGAATACAAAGCTCACACCTAAACACTTAGCTCTCCAATTTTTTTGTTTTTGCTTACTGTACTGCAGTGTATGCAGTGCATATTCAGGAACAAATGGACCCTCAGAAATGGTTGTGGGGCTATTAAAAACCATCATTCCTGCAGGAGAAGTTTGAAAATATGACTTATTAAATCCAAATCATTTAACCCATTCAGTATTTTCAAAAAACTGTTAAATGAAAAGCTATGTTCTCTTACTTAATTATATATTTAAGAATCACTTCACATAAATCAGATATCTTTACCAGTATGGTAGCCCTCAGTACTTTTAGATTGGTGCTAGTGGATTGTTAAGAAGTCCATCAGCTCAGCACTTCAGCTTCAGGGGACTTCTGCAACAAAACACACGGTCAATCCTGTTTTATGCTCAAGGGCACCTTGAAGTGTTTGTCAAAAAGAGCCATTGGAAAAGAGTATGACAGCATCACAGATACCAGTCTTTCTTGCAAGGTTCTTTGGCACATATCTACTGTATCAGTCTTTGAAGGCCAAATCTTACATATATGCAATCCTGAACTCTACAGCCCGAGCAGGTGAAACTTATGATATGCCTTAAGACAAAGACATCAATGTCACCTCAACTTAAGCAGAATATACTGGTGCTTTTATCAATAACATCCTAAGACAGCCGCATCCTAAGCTGTTTCTTCAGCTTTCTATATTATATATTACAGTTCATCATGGTTACGTTTCACAGCAAAAAAAAAAAAGTCTGAACACTCCAAGTGGAATTTTCAAAATATATTTTTTACTTTTTCCCATCTTCTTTATCATTTTCATAGTTTATGAGTTAAATCTGCTGTCATACTCTTTTGCATAAAACAGAACTTATTTATCAGTGATGTAAGTTCATCACTTTGTCGCTGCACACTTAATTTTGTTTTAGTCGCTACTTAAGTAGTGCCACCAATGTCGCCATATGTATCAGGTATTAGATACTTACTACACAGGGATGATATAACTTAACAAACAACCTCTAATGAAGACATAACGAGTAAATGTTATTTAAATCCAATTCAAGATTGTTTCTCTAGAACATTTATGTAGGAAAAGGCACATCTCTTTCAAGTCTTTCCCCAAACATTCAGACTAGTTACTGTGTATATTCTGTAAATACAGTCAGATTGCATTGCAGTTACTTTATCTACATTAGTTGGTGCAAATATCGAATATACTGAACCAAATACTGTACTTTAATCATGCATATTGACTGTCAAGTTAGGGTTTTAAGTTCAACTATGAATGTATAGAAAATACCTATACAGCAGCCGTATAACAGTCATGTAGGAGGTGCTTTTAAAGTAAGCCTTATCAAAGTTCTACTGCTAAACACTTTTATTAATGGCTGAGCAGGGTGGCTTTAGAGCTGCCTGTTTCTGTTTCATTTTTTACACGCTTCACAAACAAAAAGAACATTTTCTCCCCACTCATGTTTAATTTCATTTAGGTACGGTACTCATGGTGCTCCTTAAAAATGTCCCAAACTGTTTTAGTGTTGGATAAAAGCTGTGTAGATGTTCTGGGTAGGTTAGCAAAAAGTTGTCTGTAATTTCTGTCAACCACAAAAGAAATATGAAATATATTTGGAAGAAAATGTGTGACAGTTCATAGGCGATGTTATTAAAGACATTCTGTAGTGGCTGAAGTCATGTGAGATCTTATACGGTATATACCCGAGTTGATGTCCTGCAGTATTTATGTTTGAGAGGATTTTGGGCACATGATGCAGAATCAAGTAGTAGAGTGCTTATTCCAAGGCAAGAGTTAAAAAGATTTAAAATGCTTTATGAAGAATTTGGTGTAGATGTGTGTAAACACGCCCCCTATGGAGTAAATGACAGATTGTTGTGCAAGTGGTGTTGAAATAATTCTTTATCCCCAACATTTTGGTGCTCAGACTAAACTTCACCTGAAGTAAAACCTGTAAATGAATGTTGGACCCCTTAAAGACAGCTCAATAAGAAAGTCTAAAAACTTATGTCTGAGATGCTTCATGCTTATTTGCTTTATTGCACTGTTTGTATAAGGCTGGTTTTAAATCTTCAAGCTAATCTGCAGCTCTTACTGGTCACAAGCAAACTAAAAAATGAATGAAGAAAAGACATCGAAGAGCAAAAACGATGTCAAGTGTCTGGGACTCTTACCCTGACATCATGCTGACTTTGATTACTGTAAATATGTGAGGTATCAGACTGTGTTACAAGCCCCTCTCTGATCTGTTTTGCAGGTTAACTAAAGCCATCAACTCCAGCTTCTCATTCACTGGTTATTGTGCCTGTTGTTCTGTGGTAGCTGTGATTTGTGTTTGCTTACTAGTGTACTGGGACTATGCAGCAACTTCTACTGGTGTTGGCAATCAGCAATGATGAAATTCACAAACAAACGCTGTGTTTTCATATGGTCGGGCTTTGATTTCTTAATTTGGACCAAACTGCACCACATGATAAGTGTCAGCTGGAGATAGAGCCTTAAAGAGAAGAGGATTTGTTTGGTGATACATTGAAGACAGGGTTCATAAGTTTAGCCGATGTGTTTTGTCCTTATGAATGGCAACTAAAGTAATGCAGCTGGACTTGTAAATCGTCAAATGACAATAAAAAACGAAATAAAAAGCAATTCAGTTCCAGTTTATCAAATCACAACAGTCCCCTCAAGGAAGGTTAAAAAATCAAAAGATGAGGTGGAAATAGTTCGCAGTTAGTCTGCATTAAAACAAGTAAAAAAAACAATCTGACATCTTAGGCCAATACATGTTGCTGAATAGTCATATTTTCGCAAAGCTTGTTGTGGACTAAGATTAAGAAAACAATGTTACGCTGTATGCAGTGTCACTAATGTGCAAATGTCAAGGGTTTCTAAGTGTTGTAAATGCATGTAAACTTGCTGTGTGATGAAAAAATGTTAACATTAATGCATTGTTTAGGAAAATCATTGATAATAGATGATAATGTTTTCTTTTTTTAATACTCAGATATTTGATATTTCTTTTTTTTTTCTAAAGAATCCTTTGTAAAAGTTAAGTTCTCTATTTTGTACAGAGCATCATTGTAAAGTCTGTAAATATGTCAGCATTCTGGATGCGGCAACAATCACTGAGGAGGAAAAACTAAATCTGTGAGAGAAAGATATATTTCTTCAAAGTTGGGTCCAATACATGGATAAGGCATGCTTCTGAAGGCTTTCATCCACTTATCACTGTTTGTTGAAATTAATAAAATACATGTTATATTTATTCTGTTGCTTCTTGTTCAAATTGACATGAGTGACCTGTTACTAGGAATTGCAGTAACCATTAAGTAATAGAGTTCATCATCATATCAAATTGATTTAAAAATGCTTTTTTTTAAATTAGTAAAGCAGTTAATAATATACAGTATGTACAGTGAGTGTACAGACTGGGACAAATTGAGTGGGGTCTGAGTCATACATGGTGTCGGTATCCATTACATGTAATACATTATTAGGGGGCGGCGTCTGAAAGTGCCGAGCCATATATAAGCCTGCCACCCCCGCAGGAATGATGGCACTGGATACAGTTCGAAGGACTTAAACGAGTTGGGAATTAGCTGCCACCTCCAACATGCCGTCCAAGCCTGCCCCAATCAAGAAGGCGGCTAAGAAAGAACCAGCCAAGAAAGAGGAGGCAAAGGCTCCAGAGCCGGCTCCTGAACCCGCCCCGGAGCCCGCTCCCGTGGAGGCCCCCCCGGCTGAAGCTGCGCCTGCCCCAACCGAGGGAGAGGCCCCTGCTGCCGAGGGAGAGGCTGCGCCACCTGGTAATTACCCGTGCACAGCAGTGTCTCAAACGGCCCACCTTTAATCATTTTTCTCGATGGCTGAACTTTTGATAAGTCGGTAACTCTTTAATTGATCCAATGGTAACTTTTTAGACACATGCACTTCTGAGGGGTCAGTGTGAACTGTTCAAATGTTTACTTTTGCCCTTCTGCAGAAACATAATGACGCTAACTTGCATGTTGCATGTTTTACAAGCAGATAATCCTAAAAGTCACAGTGCATTATGAAACGTTTGTTGTAGGAATGTATGTTGACAGTGCATGTTTATCGACTAAAATGCGTTTTTCTATAATCTACAACACTTAAATTCGTCTTGTTGAACACTGATTTTGAAATCTAGCGCCAACATCAATGCTCCCACTGACTTGACTCACAGTCACACAGAGGAGTATGTGTTCATTTTTATTTGAATCGTTTAACTCCATGCTGGAAATGCACACTCAGTGATGTCTTCTACCATAAAAATGAGTGCACTAACCCTTAATATCAGCTGCCACTCCTGCTTTTGAGGAATTGCCAGCTGCCTCCACTGATGATGGTAAATTAAAGGACTTCACTTGTTCATTAGTGCTTTAGCAACTACTCTAAGTGACTTCTTGATAAAACTTTCTGCAGTGCTTAGTCTCAAAACATGTTCCACCTTCCTCAATGCATTAATTGATAATATATAACACTTAATAATAACTACTTTGAGTGCAGCGATACAGGAGGCTGCACCAGCAGCAGTCTCTGCTGGTGTTAATCCAACCTGCAAAAATAGAAAACGTGTTCCACTTCACTCCTCTCTCTCCTTAACAACTGAGATGATTTTGTCATTTGAGACTAACTGGATGGAAATTCTCCATGTGATAGCATTGTTAATCCTTTGAATTCCCAGCAAAGGGGACAGAGAGCTGTGAGATGCATAGCTGGATTATATTTGATGCTGTTGCTCTGCTCATTATATGCTGCCAACAATAATACAAATGCCTGTTTAACATCAGCTGAAGCTGCTGAGGCACCTGTACCAGAAGAGCCTAAACCACCTACGCCCCCACCACCCAAAGGTAACCTTTTCATGAAAGCGAAAACTTTATTTAAAAACCTATTTCATTGTTTTTTGTCATTTGCTTTGTGCTTATTACAACATTAAAATAGGAAAATGTATTCCAACATACTATAAGCTTTGTCTTTAAAATTCATTCATGTAATAATTGTATTTTATGTGGCATCTGCAGAGCCCACAAGCGCTCCTGTGGATCTCTTTGTTGAGGATAAGAACGATACTTCGGTCACTATCATTTGGAGCCAGCCAGAGAACATTGGGGCTTCAGGTCTAGATGGGTACACCATTGAAGTCTGCAAGGATGGAAGTAAGCCCAGCTCTTCTCTGAACCACGTGCATCATATAGCAGCATGTCCACGAAAGGGGTCAGATAGTGGTATTAATATACCCTGACAGAAATGTCAGCTGACCTTTTGAATTACTTTTTCAGCTGCAGATTTTAGGGTTTCACAACGTGCATCTTTAATTGCATCATAGTTTTTCATTTTTATTTTTTCAAAATATAGTCAGGAAATTCTTATTCTTTTCTGTTTTAAAGTGTGTCAGGCACATCAGCAGCAGCTGTTCCTGAAGTGTCAGCCGCAGAGTTATATCACGAGCTACCTAACTTCTCCCTACAAGGAAAGAGGCATTTCAGGAGCCGCTGCAGTCTTGCTGGATGTTCTGCATTTAGACTTACAGCACTAAGCTAATGTCAGCAGCAATACAGTGCCGGCTTGATTTAGCAGACCCGCACAGCAATTTAATGAATATGAACGCTGCAAAAAAGGAGTGCTCACTGTCCTGCATTTTTCTTAGTGCCTGATAATTTGTATAAATTCACTCAAAATCAAACTCACTCTTTCTACATTTTGCATATTGGGCAGACTCTTCCTTTGAAAAACAACAGCTTTTTAAACTCATTCATCATTGTGTGTAATTTTTCTCATCCAGCTGAGGATTGGAAAGCAGTTAATGAAGAACTGCAGAAGTCTTCCCGCTTTGTTATCAAGAACCAAACCACTGGTGACCGCCTGAAGATCCGAGTGGTTGCTGTGAACGAAGGTGGCCGCAGTCCTCCCGTTAGCCTCCCTGAGCCTGTGTTGGTGAAGGAGGTCGCTGGTAAGAAGTGTTTCCAATAGAGAACATAATCTGAACATTTTCTATAAGGGAATTTTACCTCTTGGAAAACCAATTATTTACAAGATAAACTAAAGGGTACTAAATCCTGAATTAACAATACTATTTAATATATTGTCCATACTATTTATGTATTTAATACCATAAACTAATTGTTTTACAATTAATCAACCATAAAAGCTGTAAAAAATCATTCCAAAATCAGGCCATTCTATACTCTTATTTCCCAATTTTTACATCAGTGCTGTTTAATAAATCCACTAGATAAACAGACGTTCTACATCATATATATGAAATTAAACTTTCTCCCAGGTGCTAAATGATTAAATTTAGTGTTTTAAGAGGACAGTGCGTACCATCTGAAACAGATATAGCCTAAAGTTTATCACGAGAAAGGGGAGTTGCAAAGTGCAGGAGTCAAAGCTAAGAAGCTCAGCAATGTTTTTCCTCTCAGCTGTCCATGTCCTGTTGGCACATGCCTGCAATGTTGCATTTTAAAACTGTGGTGTTCTCTCTTGTTTCCACTTTAAGTTGAAACCCCGACCGAGCTGGCAACAGTGTGATAATTACACACTTGATAAGTGGACGGTTTTACTGTTGCTGCACACCTTACAGTGTTAATCATAGACAGTATATGTATCTGAGCTGAATTGCTGTGAAAGATGATTGGACCCTGAGGGCTTTATAAGGAGGAGCTGCATGACTCTGGGTCCCCTCACAAATCATCGTTATGTGTAATGGAGAGTCAAACAGGGAGGGAAGGCAACTTGATCCCAGCTGAACTGGCAGTCTTTCAGTAGTCACATTAACCATCGTGTTCACCATAGCGGGTGGCCTCCATATAGAATCAACTTATGAATGGTTTCCTACAAAATTACCACAAAGCTTTAGAAAATAACTGGGATGTCTGTGCTGTTAACACAGACTTTTCTATGGAGGGTTTGGCATTGCTTCGTGATCCCTGCCAGGATTCACGCTGAGGGGAATGTCAGGCTCCCTTCTCTAAGATCGATGGTGTCAAGTGATCTGACTGCAAGCATTTAGGGAAGGGTTAAGAGCAGAGAGGGGGTGGATGGGAAATTCCAGCGTGTCCTGACTCAGAGTAGAGAGGGGGTGGATGGTATCCTTCTAACCTCTCAGATGACACCTAAATCTCATGACACCGCTGGAGATTCACTGTTTATCTTGAAACATGCCATGGACTTTACAGCACAAATCTTTATTAAGGTTAATCCTCTCCACATGAAGTGATAAGACACCTAACATGCAGTGTATACTTTCTAATACCTTAGCTTACCCTCTTTTTGATTTTATTTTTTTATACAGTTAACAGTTTGCATCCCATTTAATGTTTACTCATCATTTGCTTTTAGGAGTGTCCAGATGAGTGTCTGCTTATCTCATCTGCGATTTTAATGCATTCTGATGTGAGTGGGGGTAACCGAATCTCCAAATCATGCGTCATGAGAAGCGATATACTGACTAAAGTACGCCTGCTTTATTTAGAGACCTGACAAATGTTGCTGGGCTGCACTCAGCAGGTGTTGCTTCTCTGCAAATCACTTTTACAAACAAGCTACAGCAGGACACTTCCAAGTGTTTAACCATCTGAAACATTTCTGTTTTTCATTCACTGATTGTCAGCTTTCAGTTACATCGCACAAAAGAGACTACACAGCAAGGAACTAAACAACAAGTGTAGATCAATTTTTGTGAATACGATAATAAATAAAGCAACAATTAAGGCATTCATATCAACTTTATGTTAATTTGATTTATATTGATTTTGGCATGAAAACATACAAATGTAATGTTTATAAAATTACATGTTCATAGGTCTCAGTTTCTTTCATATGCAACTTCATGTGTATGCCATATTAATAAAGATGCATATATATGAATTTACATGCCTGTACACTCAAATACTATCTTGCTTAAGTACTCTCCTATGTTGTAATGCACTAAATAGATCGAAAGACTCTATATAACTCCTAATCGCTCCCTCACTTACTTACTCAAGATCCTGTTGAGACTTTTCAAAACAAACTGAATCACGTGAAAGAGCAGATTGTTTACGGATGAGAAGTGAAAAAGAGCCGCCAGGTGCTAAAAAATAAACCGTAGACTCAAACGTTAGAACAGGCTTTTCCCCGCAGCACGCCGTGTAATAAATACTCACAAAGAAAACGGCGGCCTTTACAACTTATGTCTAAAAATGTATAGTTTCATGCATCTGTTAAAACACTCGACTCCAG